AGAAAGTAGCACTAGTAATGGAGTCTACGACCACTTTTATGATAGATTTAGAGATTGGTACAACTTAAATTGACTACAAACATAACCCCAAACACAAGTATGGGGAGTTCTTAATAGTATGGCTCAATTTATTGAGGAATATTTATTGAGAGAAATAGTAGTGTATAGTACGTGGTCGTATATGAGTTTCCTCAAACAAGTAAGTAATAATTAATATAGAAACAATTACATCCAATTCACAATAATATTTCCCAAGTAAAATAAACAGAAAGAATACAAAAAGAGGTGACTGAAGATGTACATACAGAGATGTCCTATTTCGTACGAACGTGTGTGAAAAGTTCCTATGAAAGATTGTGAGAGACTTACATAAAAGAAGAGTTATTTGTTGGTTTGATAAGATTATTGATAAACCTACGTGCAGTCAAGTAAGCTTAGGGCATTGTATGATGTATATTGTGTTGTGTTCAATGTGACACGATGTTCACTGGAGACTGAAAAGTCCCTCATAGTTGAACGAAACACGTAGGCACTTTTACACACTTTTCTTATGTACTGCTTTTGGCAACGCCATCTAGCGGTCGTTAGCATGTTCTTTGGCAGACAAGTTCAGTAATCCACGGGGTCTGCACTCCACAAACTTTTATTGAGAGCAAGTCACGTGGGGTTCGGCAGAGTGGTCGTCTCTCGTCTGTCGTTTGGAACAACTGTTCTCTGGAACTTATGGCTTGGTCGCTTAAGTGAAAAAGTTTGTTGTATGAATTTTTCCAATCTCTCATAAAGAAAGTTTGTTTCTTTTGCGGCAATCTTTGATACATAATTCCAGTGTGTATTTTTGCGTGTGTGAGTTTGAAAATGCGACGAAAATTCGTATGCTGTTTCTATTTATAGTTTTTTTAACAACAAAATTGGCTCCAGCGAGGCTTGGTAGCTGTTGCGAATTTTTCTGAGAAATGCGTAGGCGAATGTTGTATTTTTTTAATTTTTTAACCAATAGGATTTTTTGAAACATTTAAATTAGGGATGAATTTAAGAAAGATTTTTTATGTCAATTGAGCCTATTTTTGCACAAATTTTTGACTGTTTTGTTATGGAAATTTCTCGAAGCTTATCTTTATTTAACAACCAATGAAATTCAAGAAAATGTTTGCAAATTGAAATGAGGGTTACTAAAAGTTTATACAATTAGAAATTTACCAGCTGTTTCTTCTGGTCAGTTATCTCTCTATTTTGTTGGGGTAATTGCACATTAAAAAAAAAACTAGATTTTTACATGAGGAAATTCTACCCTCTTGACTTGTTTACAATTTCCAATTCTGCCTTTTATTTTAAAATTGCCAAATTTCTATCGCTCGATTTGTATTTTATCAACTCGTATTCTTTAAGCATTGTCATTAGTCAGCTGTCAGCTAAGCATCGCCACATAGCCTCTGTGGTAATATCTTGTAAACAGGATCACTTTCCTTCGAGTAATCTCTGCCCTAAAAAGAAATAGACTTTTGAAACTAAAAGAAACCTTGCTTTCCCTCAGTCTATCCATCGTTCTATTCTTTAACCCTTTTCGTCTTGTTCCAAGCTTGTATTTTTAACTTAATTCCTTTCTTTCCGTTTGTCAGTTTTATTCTTTAACCTTTTTCGTCTTGTTCCAAGCTTATATTTTTAACTTAACTCCTTGCTTTCTGTTTGCCAGTGTCACCCTGTTTTCACCATTTTATTACCCTGCTTTCATGATGTGACAATAGCCAAGTGGATTAAAGTATCAGTTTGTGAATTTAGAGGCATATTAATTATGAGTTCAATCCTCGAGTAAGGTAGTACAAACTAAGAGTGAGCAATAACTAAGCAGTATTAACAAGAACAAGACGAATTATTGACGAATTATTCCATCTCTGTTCGGTGGAAAAATGTTCACTAAATTGCATTTCAACCATGCCTATCTGCAAATACTACTTGATACTGAATAATAAACGCACACTACGATCAATATCCGTCATAGATTGTTTCACGGCAATCGACTACCCTTCCGGATTCCAAGTGCACTAGCGATATTCTAGTAAATAACGGACATTATTGTATTGTACAAGGTATTCAGCATTTACCTGCGTACATTGATGACATTATTTGTCCAGGTGGAAAGATACAGAATAAAAGAATCTTCAGTACAGTTTTTAACCGAATACAAAAAGCTGGACTAAGTTTGGACATGTGCAAATTTATGCAATGGAAGATAACTCACTTTTGACATAGAGTGTCTGCAAAAGAGTTAACAAAACTGTGCATGAAAAATTGAAAGTTATGAAACAAGCAACGACAGATGTTACTGAATTCAAAACATTTCTCGTTCGAGTGAATTACTATGTCAGATTCAAATCTAGTCCATAGAACAACTGAATCGCTTACTACGCAGCGGTACAGTGAAGGAATGTTCATTGCTGTATTGTCGGAGTGGCTTATTCTTAAAAGTAATTTTTGAAGTAATGAGTACGGCTCGGATTGGGGAATCGGAGAGCCGAGTTTGAATTCCAGTCAAATCCATTACATTCACTTATGTACTAATACCCTTGGGAAAGGTATGAATCGTCTTCTTCTACCCCAGCCATGTGTAAATATCAGGACAGATCGAGTTCTATAGCAACTGGTCTACTGCAAAAAAGAAATGGCAACCTACTGCGGGAAAAAATCTGCATCGTCAGTCATGTATCGAAAGATATATGATCGCCTAAGCGTGTATCATGCATGGCACATAACTGACTGAAGTAGTTTAAGACAAGGAGAGAAGAATGTAGCAAGTTTCTCGAACCCCTACTCTGGAATAAAAGACTAATCCTCCATAGTTTAACTAAGAACGAACAGAGGACTTAGATATTTAGATTCCTCATTGTCCCCATCATTGTTGTTGCTGTCACCCTGTTTTGGCCGTTTTATTTGTGTTTTGCACTCATTAGGCAGTGTCATCAATCAGCTGTCAGCTAAGTATCGTCAGATGGCCCATGTGGTAATATCTTGTAAACAGAATCACTTTTCTTTGAGTTATCTTTGCCGTAAAAAGAATTAAGCTTTTGAAACTAAAAGAAACCATTTCTTTTCTCTCAGTTTATCAATCGTTTTATTCTTTAACCTTTTTCGTCTTGTTCCAAGCTTATATTTTTAACTTAACTCCTTGCTTTCTGTTTGCCAGTGTCACCCTGTTTTCACCATTTTATTACCCTGCTTTCATGATGTGACAATAGCCAAGTGGATTAAAGTATCAGTTTGTGAATTTAGAGGCATATTAATTATGAGTTCAATCCTCGAGTAAGGTAGTACAAACTAAGAGTGAGCAATAACTGAGCAGTATTAACAAGAACAAGACATGATATCTCTAGACATGGACAATCTACTTTCGTAGATTAACTAATGGGTTTAGTTCGAAAATCCCTAAAAATTACCGGAATGACAAGCACCTGATGAAGACCGGAGAGAACAACGGCCAACATGTTGTGATCATCATAAGACAAAGATAAGGACATTAGTCCGAATGTAAATAATAACCCCTCATCCCAGAAATTCAAACAGAGTACTTAATTGATCTTGTCTGCCAAATTGACACCAGGATCAAATTCCGCATATAAGGAGAAATTACTATGCGAAACAGACCGAGTATGTATGTTAAGTTGAATTCGCTTGCTGAATAAATAACCTTTTCTATATTCTACTGAAACATTTATTATGATGTTAATTTACCACACTCCTTACTATTAATTTGGGGAGTGGGCGTGATGCCACGGTACAGCTAGAGTCACAAAATCTATTGTTAGATTTTTCAAAATGAGTGCAAATTCGCACTTCATAATTTGGTTTGATGGCCAAACAATGACAGGCTTCCACGAATAAGGGCCGAAAGTTAGTTTTGAATGCTTCTTCTTTATTTGTGATATGTGCTAACACTGACCGCAGATGGATTAAACACTTCTAGACTGGAACCTGAAAAGCCTAGGTTGGCAGTGCCCACTCTGAATATAACAGATCAACAGCTACATTTTCCTTCTGTGGTAAAATATGCACATAATCTAACAAAATTATGCGGGTTACTCTGATCATTATGCATAAAATGCAAAATAGTTCTTGTAGATTTAATAACTAAAAGTTACAAGCTGCCTACACTAATTAATTACTGTCGGCACATGCCTGATTTTATATATATATATATATATATATATATATATATATATATATATATACATAGAGAGAGAGAAATATACTCTTAAAGTGTGCTATATTTATGGGATAAAAGTGCTCAATATCAGAGATAGAGCGTGTGTAAATATAAAAGTGAACATTGAAGTCAACACTTAGAGGCGACAGGCTGTTTCATGCCAGACGCAATCGCGTGGCCTGACGATTGCGTCTAGAATGAAACAGCCTGTCGCTCTCTCTATCTCTCTCTCTCTCTCTCTATATATATATATATATATATATATATATATATATATATATATATATATATTACCAATTTGTGACTGTAAGGGATAATTCCGAGGAGGATATAAATCCAGGAAGAGCTCAATGTAAATTACAGAGCATTATAATGATAATAAGAAGACGGAGACTTTAATTATCCATTTCGTTTATAATTTTATTTCGTGAATACCAAGATGTCCAACTCATCAGAACGAAAACCTCGCGGCCAGGTTTTAGTTCTGATGAGATATTTATCTCGGTTTTCATGAAATATAAATTATAAACGAAATGGATAATTAAAGTCTCCGTCTTCTTATTATCATATATATATATATATATATATATATATATGTGTGTGTGTGTGTGTGTATGTGCGTGCATGTGTGTGTATGTTATTGGCAGTAACAAGTTTCTTAATGCGTTTTAAGGTTATCAATACAGCCTCTATGTATTTTTAAATGTCATTTTGTCTTATCAGTAACCTGATTATATATGTTCAATTTTATGATGCCGAGCCACAAATGCTGCACGAAAAGTCTTGCTGGGTATTATATTGGTAGATGGGCGTGTTTCTCTGTCCGTTTGTGGTTGAGGAGGCCTGCCCTCGAGAAGCAGACACGGTCACATTCGTCACACGAGAGGGATTCATTTGTCCTCCTCTCGGGAAAAGGGTCGACGTCTTCCAGCTCTTTTCAGTTCAGCGGAAATAACTCTGTTGTTCTCAAATTCTTCAATACCAACAACAATCAGATTTCGCCACACCTTCCCCCGTCTGATGCAAGATGTTCCCAGGTGTTAGTATCTACGTTGACCTTTTTAAGTTTGTTCTTAAATTTGTTCTTGAGGCAGCTTGTATCGAGGACGTTTATTTTGCACGGGGTCACCATACAGCACTTGTTTCGGCATGCGAGCGTTTTCTAGGCAGACAAGATGACCAGCCCATCTAAGTTGATGCTTTATTATCATGGACTCAATGCTCTTTATGCCAGATGCAACACTCTCGTATCTGGAAAATGTGATCGCAATATCTTTAGTATAATGCATGCATTGCTGGTGGGACAAATCGAGACGTTGGATATGTCTGCGATAGATATTTTTAATGCCAGAACGTTGGTGATCATGATCCACAGATTCCTTTTCTTTATTATCTATTAATTGCCAAGAATTACCGTTATTTTCTCCATGGTCTAAAATTCAGTGTTCCTTCTCGACTGGATTCCACCCAAGATTAAAGAGTTTAGTCTACCTTGCTATTTAATCCATAGATGTTGGAGAAATAGATGAAAAGAATCCATGCTTTTCTCAAGAGTGTTATTGTAAATTAAACACTGCAGACGAGGTTCGATTCTACTTTCCGCGCTGATATGTTACGTTAATCGTACATCCAATGTGTAAATACTAGCATTCTGAAATATGTATGGTGATTTTCTATGTGTAGCTTAGCACAAGGCCAAAAGTATGGGACACCCAGTGACGATCGAACTCACTACCTACTGGTAACTGATCTAGCGATACAACCTTGTTAATCATTATACCACGTCGAAGTGCCCAAATGATCTTCTAAGCATTACTTAGATTTGGCACAAGGCCGAAAGTGTAGAGCACCCAGTGAGGATCGAACTATTCCGAAATATGTATGATATCAAGGTTTTCGGTATGAGATTGTGTATTCGTATAAACACTATAGAAATTAAATATTACTATTTATTGAACCTAGCTGAGTTTGAGATAAAATCACAAGTGTAAGACAGATAGTAAGAATGAAACTTGTTACATGGTACAATATCCTGTGCAATTACTCCACTTCATCTGCCAAAGGATCTTGCTCAACACTCGCCAGATAGTTTGGCAATCAGTAATACGAACGAAATGCCTCTCTCTCTCTTTATACTCGGAGATGTAGTTACGACAACACGGGACTTGTCTTCGCTTGGAGAGATTTCTTCTGTCAAGCAGGCCGACTGCTTCCTTTTCACTCTACTAATCACATAAATGTTTGTTTGTTTTTTTCCTTTTTTTGAGTCATCTATATACACGTAAATATAATTTTCTCTTTCTCTTCTCTTGTGAGCAATATTGTTCTTTATGTTAAACCCCACGTAATGTGTGAAATTAATTTACTTTGCAAGTTCTCATCTTTATTCTCAACAAATCGTATCTGCTTCCACTACAATGCCAAGCAAAATTGCAAACCACATGTCACAGTAGGGTGTTCGAGGAAATTTTATATTTATGCACGAAATCATTTAGCGGTTGAAATTTCTGCCTCAAACCAATATCTAGCTTACATAATGTAACTTAGAATAAAATATTGTCATCTTTCATTGAACAAAAAAAAAAAAAAGATTTCACGCTGTAGCTTTGACATATTGTACCGTTTTGAAAATTTTATCAAATGTGATAAACGAAGCGGCTCGAGATTAAACCTACATGGCAGCTTCACTGTGTCAATAATCTTGTACTGCCTTTTCTCCCAATGATATCGACTCCCAACAGGAACTAAGCTTATGATCCAGGCAACCATTTACTATACACCTCAGCATTGTGATTTTTCATATAACACACACACACACACACACACACACACACATATATATATTGTGAAAAATTTACCTCTTGTCATCATCAAGGTAGAAAACTTTGATTCAACTGGTGGAATATTTTATATATTTACATCTCGTCGGAACGTGTTCGCATCCGAGCATTGAGAACACCATACTCTCTCTCTCTCTCTCTCTCTCTCTCTCTCTCTCTCTCTCTCTCTCTCTCTCTCTCTCTCCGCCATCCCTTGGTGGCGGAGATGGCTGTAAAGCCCCAGTCTACCCTTGAAGAGTCATGACCAGGAGTCACAAGGAAGTGTAGGTAGTAGACGCCGCTGGACGAGTTGAGCCCTCCTTACAGCACGTCGCAGATACTCGTCATGTCGGCTTGAAAGTCTTGGACCCTCCTCGGATGGTCATATGCGAGTAAGGCCGGTTCCCAGCAACGGTTTCACAGGTCTCAAGGTCGACGTTAGCTTGTGTCAAAGATGTCTTCAACTGATCCTCGAAGCGTCGTTTCAGCCTCCGTGTATCTTCTTGCCTTGAGAAAAGTCTCCTGGCAGACAAGATGGGGTAAGCCCACTGATGTGACCTTATAAAAACTTGACATCAGCTAATTTGGCAACTCAAGATGTTGCTCTTCCCAGGCTTAGTTTGATTGCATTCCCAAGCAATATCTCCCAAGACTTGCGTTATCGAATCCAGTGTTTGAACCTAAGTAAAAAGCCACAATTTTGAATGCTGATTTTCAATAAAGGGCTGGCCCTTTCTCTTGGAAGATGGGTGCAACGTAACCTTTCTATCCAAGGCATCATATATTTGTGCTAATGTAAGCTGCTAAGGTTAATAAATATTTCCCTTCATTGAATCGAAATCGTAAAAATCGCCAAGTGAAGTAACGAAATGAGAATTTCAGGTTGCCTCCTCCTAATTTTCGAAACCGCTATGAGGGGACGCCTTTTGGACTATAAATACTCGGCGATATTTTTTCTCTCACTTTTTCCGCTTCCACGTCAACATGTAAATCTCTTGCGGAGAACGTTTTTTCTTTGGGAAACGCATGCACGATACACACACACGTACATACGTACGTACGTACCCACATTCACTCACTACAGATAGTTTGAACCAAAACGGTTTTCACATTCTTTTGACACACACACATTTTTGTTTTTGTCACTTGGAACCATTTATTGTTAACACATTATCATTTGTTTGTCCATATATTGGTTCTTATCGTTTCTTTACATAACTTTACGTAGACTGATCTCGAATCTGCCATGTTTGTTGCGGGCATTTCAGGAGACACACGTGTTTATCTCTCAACGCATACACCGACCTACAATACGAACAACAGTATAAAAGAAGTGATTGATAAATGTTGACCAGAAGCCTGTTTTGTAACTGAAATAGTTACGTATTCTCCATTGATGGAAGAACTCACGTAGAATACTGATTTTCTAAGCAGGCTCCTCCTATTTGAATCACTAGCATAACACATTTCCCTCTATGTGCCGTATTAAGCTTCTTCTTCTATGTGACGTGTCCCTTCAGGGCGTTAGCTATCACGGCTCTCCACAATTTCCTGTCTTTGTAGCTCTTTATAACTTTTATCTTTTTGCTATCTCTTCCAAACCCTGTTCTAGCAACCGTTCACTCAAATTCGTCAAGTAGGTTATGCGTTGTTTTCCACTAGGAATTGGCAACCTGAATGCTTGCTTGTTTTACTGGTTATTACAAGTGGGATGGCTAAAATTAACCTACTGAAGAAATGCCGTAGAAACTGAGTAATCTTTTGTCTCTAGTCCCATATACGCGTGGGATTTCTACTGTAGTCGTGACCTTGTATTATATTTCCTTCGACTAAGTTTGCGGTTAAATACCTGTTTGATTCTGTAGTTTAGCAGACAGCCCTATATTACAACGGCTTTTGTAAAATAATATTAAACAATTTCAGTTTTATCATACATCATGAATAAATACAACCGTAAAATATCCCACCGACAGACACCATTGAATATCCCACCGACAGACCCCTCCTCTACAGTCCCATCTTAACAGCATTATATACTCTGGACAAAGCAATGCACTGGGGCCTCTACTCACGGGAATAAAATGTAAACATTCGATAAAATCAATCATATAGATTCATTGGTACTTCCAACAATATCAATATTAAAACAAAACTAAAAATGCTATTAAAGGACAGTGCCGGGATCTCATGCATCCCGCTCGAATCTATGATATGGGGCCCACCATTCTATTACATTTTCATAAGGTAGTATTCATATAAAATACAAATTTTATTGTAACCTAATTATCTACAATAATGGTTCACATTCAATATCGGTGAACAATTCAACTAGAAAAATTGAAAATAAATACAATGTATCAAAATACAAAACATGTCATAAGAGTTCATTCGATCTTAAACAACTCAATGTTTTACGGCAATTTTTAACATCAACTTCAGCCTTTTCTTATTAAAAGGTTGCATATTCAACATTATGGATAAAAATAGTAAATATTATATAGAATTTTTTTCGGGACTTAGTATGAGCAAAAACAAATTCACGTATATGGACAAAAAAAAAAAAGCCAACTCCAGAATGACGTCAAAATCCGCGACATTTTTTTCATCCTTTAATAATCAATTGTGCTTAGTTTAATTTGTAACGTATATAAATGGAGGTTTAAAAAAAAGCGAACGTTGATAATACAGCGAGGGTCAAAAAGCATTGCCCGGGCCCCTAATCAGGCTTTCCTCCCGGTCGAGGTTTCGTGAGTAGTACGCACCGGCCCTGTGTTTGACCATTACGACTGAGCAGTGAGTTCGGTCCTGACTAATTCCTCCATATCAAATTCAATATTAAATAACCCAACAAACTTAACCCGTTTAACTAGAGTAGCGTGTGATGCATTGGGTCACACGGTGCGGCACATGCGCTAACCAGAACAAGTGATTAAAAACTCAAAATGTTAAAATCAGATAAATACGTTTTATTGGTCTAAAAATCCACTAAAGAAAAGAAATTGTCAAACTAAAGAAAAGAGATTTCAATTCCAGGACTTTCTAGCAAAATACACAGGCTTTTTTTTAAAAGATAAATCAAAACCGCTTGATTGACCTACGCCTTTTTTTGGATCATTTTTATTCGGAATTTCCTATTCTCCACTATTTTTACCTAATTTTTCTGCTGTTCCCTTTTTCCAAACTCTTTCATTCTCCAATTCAAACCCTGGAGGTAGAGTAATCTAGCCCTGTTGGGGCCGTTTTAACAGAAGTTTGGAAAAGTTCTACAAAATAAAGTACAGGTTCCATTTGCTAAGTATGAACAACTGTTGAGTTACCCCAATCAATGCCATCTGTATACATAAAATGGAATGTGTCAAAAAGAGTGCCTGATTTGTTTTTTACGACTGTCAGTAAATTGTTTGCCATTTGTATTACAAAGAAGGTAGAAATCAATGAGAGACATTTAGTTAACCGTTTAAACTTAAGTATAACTTAAATTCCCTACCTATGCCTACAGCTCCAAGGAATTCGTGATAATGTGATTAATGTGTTTGCCAGGATTCTGCAAACTTTTCGCAAGTCTGGGAAAGTTTTTCATTTGGTAGCCTACCCGGTTGGTAGCCTACCCGGTTGGTTTTTACAAAATGATTTGAAACTAGATTCTGTTGGAGAGGTTCCCATGAATTTACCAGGCCATCTGATTTGTTTAACAAAGAGGGTCTTTGTGCAGATGCCTAATTAATCAAAAGTCTTCTTTTTAAGTAAGCACACACGCATACACACAATTTAACCAGTTTGAGCGAAGCAGATTCAGAGATAACACTGCCATACGTTTTTGTTGAAATTCTGTCAGCAGCTAAATTGACAATACACCTCCATTCTAATTATAAGATAACTCTCAATGACTCAAGGGAAGATAATAATTTAATGAAGTCGAACCGCATAATTGTGATTATTGCAACTTTTATATTCTCTCATCGTTAATAAATTGTTGATGGAACAAAGTCTCTTGATAAACAACAGACTTTGTTCCTTCTGCTATAAATTTTACGCCTTTCAGGAAGGAAAGACCGGAATTAAGAATGTTGCCTGGACCAAGAAAACCAGGACCTGCTGGATTGAATAACAAAGACACGCCGTATAATTCATCTCAGCAGCTACATAACATAAAAGATTCAACTTGACGACCCAAGGCCGGTGGAGAAGACGAATGACGAAAATAGCCACGCCCAATTTTCGCATCCTTCACTGAACTGTAATACCTAGTATGGTGATTACGGGCTAAAGTTTACATTCGACATACGGTGACCAGAATAGCCGATTATATTTTGTGCCGTAACGACTAGGAAGTGCCAAACAAAAGAGATATATTACAGATATAGAGACAAGTTAATTTTAGCAAATTTTACACAAAGTTTAAAGAGAAAAACAAGTGTAATGAATTCGTGAACATGTCATTTAGTTTCAATTTTGGGTTAGTCTTTCGATATCTAGCCGCTTTGTTTATTTGTTTGGGGAAGATGTTTGGTTCACTGGTATATTTTAGTTCACTGACTACGACCTGTTGCAAAGTTTCATATTTATCTGTTTTCTGCGTATACAAACGCAAAAGTTTTTTCTTCTAATTTAGTTGTCCTTTAGAAGAATAATTACAAGAAAAAAAATCGTTGCGTTTGTTGAAAACTTTTACGTTTAGTAGAAAATTCTCTTTTTAAACTTCATGGTCTGTTTTTCTAGACCTGCAAACTTTTAATCTTCTTTTTAATTTTGTGGTTTTTCCTGGAATCTTCCAATTTGATACTGTCTCCATCCTTTTTGTGCGTGTGTGCACGTGGCTGTCTTTTTGACATGCCTACAAAATCTTTACATGTTAGCTATTTTAATTATTCAATGTTTCATAATATAACTTTCATCGTTATATTATCTACGTAGCTCCAAAGATTGACTAAAAAAATTGTCATACATGATGACAAAATGGCCCAAACTTAATAAAAACAAAGTTTTATCGCCAAAATCTTTGTTATTATTAAGATGAAAGACCAAAAGATTTTTTGATTATTAAATTATTATTTTTTAATCCTTTTTAGAACATTTTGGTTAAAGATGTTGTTTTTCTGGCATCAACAGAATACCATAAATTAATATGGAAAATTAAGCGTCTTTTTTGTGGTGAAAAACAAACTGATTTGGAAATTCTTGAAAAAAAATCATATAATTGTCGAATTTTAATGAAACTTTCAGGACTTATTA